TTGAAAATTAATTAAATTGTGTGATTTTTTACGAGATCTGTGAGATAACTTGTGTGATGATTAAGAGGGACTCTATCTAAGATAGACTTTTCTTTAAAAATAAACTCCATTTTACATGTATATGATTAATGGAACAATTGAAATGACATTAAAACACACAAGGTGTTATAAAACTGACACCAAAAAAAATTTGGCAGTCCACTTTGGTTTTTAAAGAGTTTTAGGAGTGGAAATCAAGACAGGAAAAGATAAAAAGAAAAAAGAAAAAAGAAAAATTGTTTGTGAGAGCCAGATCAAAATTCCTTTATTGACATCATTGTATGTAAAGATATATTACGTCGAGATAATTTAGATGAAACTAGGGAAATGCATGATTAAACATCTTAAGCCATTACACACGCAGCCCAAGTGCGACAACCTCTACCACAAGCCAATGACTTTTTCCAATTTCTCTTTTCCATTCAAACAAGTCCTTAAATTAGCAAGTTTTAATTTCATCTCTTAAACTTTAACTATTTTAAATTAATGAAATATTTTTTCTATGTTAAGCATCAACTGAATGCTATTTTATTTTCTAACACCATGAAAATCCAATGCAAAGCTAGCTAAAGCAAACCATCATATCCAATCATAGATCAAACAAATATAAAAAGGATAAAATAAAATAAAAACTTGACCAACCAAAAAAATAACAAAAATACCACATGAAAATAGCGAAAGAAATTAAAAATTTTACATAAAATACCATATTTCTATAGTGATTTCTACCATAGAAAAAGTCGTTATGTTTTTCATGTTTTAGTATTTTTGTTAATAAAAGGATAACATAATTTATTGACCACATCTTCCATTAAAAATCAATCAATTATACCATTTTAGTTTATTTTTATTCTTTAATATGCTTTATTTTCAAATTAATGTTAAATATTTCACTTTAAATTGGTAAAAAATACATGTTTTAGTTGATAAAATACAAAGAAACTAAATTTATGTTGGTTCAAAAAACCAAAATTGAGTAAGCTTGGGTTGCATTTTAAAACTATCATGATACCACACATCAATATTAACTTCCACGTATATTAAAAAAAAAAAATTCTTCTAAAAAAATTATCACTAACCAAGACTCAAAACACTATTCATCACAATAGTGTAATAATAAAATTGCTCATGATAAAAAAAAAACCCTTTAAACTAGGCATTAGAGAGAATATAATATTTTTATTATTACACATTTATCCTTTACAAATTGATTAGGGTTAGATTAGTCATTTTCAATTTTTACACATTAAAATTATTAATTTAACCCTATAATAAAATAATACAATTCCTATTACTCTGGGACATTTTGATCTTCTTTTTTTTTTTTCAAAATAATATCCTTTAAAGATAGAATTAACATGATTCTCACGCAAAGTTTCTTTTGTAAACCATAAGGTTATTCATGTGTTATTATTATAATATACATATATTAAATATTATTAAAAAAAAATATTGATGTTGATGTTGAAGGCCTCCGCATTGTTTAGGCAGCACTTACAAGCATCGTCTTGTCACCAAATATCGACTTCTAAAGCGATGTTTGAAAGATCTCAGTACCTGAATATGATAAGGTGGCGTGTGACCCTAACCCTCAATGAGTGTCACGTCCATGATCATTTTTTCCTTTCTCTTTCCACCATCTCAAATTTTGTGCTAAACCTCTGTAATTTTTTTCTTCTTTATATTTAGTCCATGTCTTTTTTATTATTATTTTCTAATTTTGAATAATCTATGCAATTAAAAATATTTTTTTAATTTAATCTTTATCATTTTTTAATCTATAAATATTCTATCAAATTGAAAATATTTTTATATTTCACCTTTATGATTTTTTAATCTTTCAAATTTGATCTTTATTTTTTATTACTATTTATTTTATTTAAAATAAATTTTAAATTTGAACCAACAATCACCCACTTCTCTACCAATAAAGTGCAAGACAATGCAACCAATGGTGGACACTCATGTTTCCATCAAAATTTATAAATATCCTGAGTTATTAGGTAAACAAAACAAATAGTGTTAAGTTTTGTCTATATATTTGTTTTCTTAATTTGATTGCATATCATTTTTATAATACACATATAGATTTAAACATTGAAGAATTCTTTATTTCATAAAGGACTTGTTTTTTAAAAATATTTAAACTCAAATAAAAAATCCACAATCAAGCCTAATCTCGATCTAGAATTGTAAATTGTGAAATTCCCATTATTTATATAAGGTTTGTAACAACTT